TTGTCGGGGTGGCTGACAAATGCAACAGAGGTGAACTACACACACGACGAAACGAGTACAAGACTGAAAGTATAAACACAATTTTCCACACTCATTGAGTCATTCTCCATCGTCTGGAAGTCTGCAAGAAACAATCATTGCACAAGTTTTGAAAGTGTAACATTAAAGGCAAACGAAAGAACACGGCGAAACAGCTGCGCCGTACACACACAACAATAAAAGACACATGCACGCTGGCCTCAGTCAAATGGTGTGCAAAAGAACTGTCGAATCGTCAGAAACATCGATACAAAAATAACAGGAGAAACAAAAAATGAAACTGTGACCACTGCACCTGCTGAGCCCGTGTCTGAAGAAATACTCAAAAAAGTGCAATCCTCTACAACATCGATGATAAAATAAAACAAGAAACAAAAACAAACTGCACCCGTGCATGGAAATAGTATATAATAGTCTAACCACCTATACAAAGAAAAATACAGTCATGACGACCTGCACAGACCACTCCTACGAATACAAGGCCTCGTCTCAAGCACTATAGACTACTCCTACTAACATAAAGCCTCGTCTCAAGCACTAAATATAGTGTACACTACTACGAATCAGAGAATGAAAGAAGACTAATGGTGGAACTATGCGTCATCGTCGTCCACAATGTCCTTCCTCCTCCTCTGCGGCACCACACCTGTCACACCATCCCCACGACCTGTGCCGCCTACCGGCGCGTGCGTAGTATCCGGAGCATGAATCTCCCCCTGTGGCGCTGCCTCAACCCCTCCCTGTGGTCGAAGAAGATCGTTCATGGAAACCCTCCTCCATTGGTCATAAGGCATCTCCAAATCGTTTGTGCCAAACTCCCAAACGATTGGCGCCTGCGACGGTCGTTGCGCTGTCGCTGCCCTCACATCCTCCCGCAATATACGTGCAGCCATGCTCCTCCCGGGGGGCGCACTGTGCTCAGCGTGGTCACCGGTGCCCGCTGTACGCCCTGCAGTATGTGGCAACGTCGCCTCAGCAGGTGCGCTCATGGGCTGATCCGTCGCTCGGTCGGAGACCCTCTCCTGCCATCCTGCTGCGTCTGCGACAACGTCCCCGCTCAAAATCGCCCGTGTTCGCGTATGTAAACCGGCCAACCCAGGCTGACTCGCCCGCATCCTCTGCGTCACTCTCCTCACGGTACTAAGACTTTTCCCTGCTCTCATCTTCTTCTTCCGTGACTGAGGAGAAGGAGACTCCCCGGCGGGTGTCGGCGAGGGGCCCCGTACCGCCTCAGCCGCGACTGTGCCCTCCACATATGCGGGTGTGCTGATACCTGTGGTGGACGATGGCACTGACGAGCTGCAAGGCAAGTAAGCTGGGGCCTCTGCCATCAGTCTCCTCGACGCCTCGGTCATCTGCCCCCGGCGATCTGCCAGCAACGGGTCCTCCCGTGCCTGCCGCTCCAACTCCCCCGCCGATATGGCCCCACCGAGCGGCAATACCCAAACACCCTGAACTGGTGACGCAGGTCTCTCGCCCGCATCCCCTATGCCTGCAGCGCCGCACTCGCCCTTTGGATCACCTGCCTCAACGCCCGTCTCGAGCATTCGCGCTACATGTGCCCTCAATGCAACACTCTGCGTCATTTCGCAGCGGCTAGCCAACCCCTGCGCCCTCCTCTTCTCCTTGAGGTCGATCCTGTCCTGCTCTGACTCTGTCGCCCGCTCCTGCACAGGTCGACACTCCCCATCATCCCCAGCTGCACGCTCGTGTTGCCCCGACCGACCCGGTGCCGCCTTTGCTGCCTCCTGCAACATGCTACTACTGATGTCGCCCGTGCTGCATGAAGGTATGTCACGAAGTATCTGACTGACGGGCGTGGACGCTGCGTCCACACCGATACCGACACGCTCCCCTGTCGGTGTCGGAGGATGCCCTAACGAAACATCAAAAATGCTGTCGCTGAAACTGACACCCACCTGTGCAGATGGCCTCCCAACCTCTCCAGCATCGCCACTACCACCCGCAAACCCGCCTGGACCCTCCGCAGACGCCACTGCGCCCTCTGCAGACGCCGCAGCGAACTCTGCAGGGGAGGGAGCAACCTCCATAGGGGAGGGAGCAACCACAGCTGCCTCAACGGGCCTCTCCTCATCAACCCAATGCACAGTGCGAGTGGACGATGCAGACTCTCGCCTTACTTTTCCTATGCCACCACGCCCTGCACCCCCAACACCCGGCCCGCTGCCTCCCCTGCCTGCACCACTGCATCGGTCGCCACGCTGTCTCTCGGACTTCCGCAAACCACCCACAGCCCGTCCACCGTCGCCGCCCTCGTCGTCGTCGTCGTCACCATGTCCGCGTGTCGGGGAATCACATGGATCATCCTCATCCTCACTGCTGCCGTCATATCCCTCCCTATCGTCGCCATCGCCGTCGTCTCCCTCGTCGACACGCTCGCGAGTCCCTCCCTGTCCTCGACGATCGGTTGAAGGGTGTGGCGTACTGCTCTCGACATGGTCCGCCGGGCCTGGCTGTGAGACGTCGGGAGCACTCGAAGGAGGGCGTGCTGCGGGAGACGGTGCAGCGGCCGCCGTGGACGCACGTGTGCGAGGATGCGGAATCTGGTTGAGAGGAGTGTCGTCGTCATCGTCATCAGAACCTCCTGGCTCTGACTCCACGGCCAGGTCGTCTGGATCGGAACACGGCTCGGCCTCCATCGCATCCTGAGCCATGGGATCAGGCTCGGGATCGTACACCGACTCCAACTCATGCGCCATCAGCACCGTGGCACGACGACCGAAATACGTCGCGACGTTGGGAGGTGCCTTTGAAAGGCGATCCTTCCGCCCGCGCTGGACCTGCCGGTCGCGCTGTGCCTCGGTGACTCAGTCAGCCGGCCGAACACCCTCAACACGAGGCAGAGGAATAGCGTCCTCTATCTCGTCCCCATTGTCCTCCCATGGAAGAACGTACCCAGAACCCCTCCCCTAACAATGACTCAATCTCAATTTGGTGGATATCTCCACCAAATGAGCCAGCATGATGAAACCAAGCTGATTACGCTTCTTCACCTGAACACGCTCATGGACGGCCCAATTCCTCTCCATCGGAGAGGCGCACGTCCATGTGTGCGACAAGTGAATGGCGATGCTCTGAAGGAGAGGGACCCCATCCCCGTGCTGAACCCACCACTGCCCCACCTGTGACGTCTCCTTCTCCCCTTTGCAGGCGGCCGCATCCCTGTCTCCCTCGGCCCCTCCATACATCCAATCGCCCTCCCGAGAATGAAACTCCGCCAGCTGCGTGCGCAACGTCTGATACAAATCCTCGTCACCACCAGTGTGCTGGCGAAGGTATCACAACGACTCGTCTGCCAGTATCCGCTCGTGGTCGGTACGCCTCGCCGCTCCAAAAAAAGTAATGCTCCTCTGCCGCGGATTGAGGAGGTGGGCCATGCAATGTGCGGGCTCCAACATATGAGCGACCCGCTCCTGACAAGCCTGAACAACGATGTGGAGCTCGTCCTTCAGCGTCATGTTGAGGCTTGCTCTCGCCACCCTGTCGACCATGACAAAACCCCACGACCACATGCGAGTCATCATGCGAACCCCCCCTGTCCAGACGCCGCAGCAACTGCATCATAGGCGTCATGAGCGCCACGATGTCCTCCACGTGCTCCCAGAATGGCGCGTACCGCACCTGATGACGCACCCATCTGGCCTGCAGAAAAATGGACCTCCTCCATGCAGTCCGCAGCCAATCGCCGCTCATCATCAATGCCTCCAACGCTCTGCGACGATCCAACAGCCTCTCCACCATCAAGTAGTGGGTGGCAAACCTCGTCTGCATAGGGTACACAAGCTCCCTGCCTCGCCGCTGAGACGAGGGTGGCGCAGAGCTCGAACCAAGCCGCCTCGGAGGCGGAAGAGGGGTGAGCGGCAGCCCGTGCTCTCTGATGAAACGCACGACAGCTCGAGCCCTGATGATGGTGTCCTCCCTCTTCCCGAGGCTCCCGCCGCGCCCATCCTTCGCGATGTCTGACAACAACAAGTTGCAGACATGGACCGCAAACGGAAGCCAAGTGATGCGGTTGTACTTGACTTCCTCCTGGGCGAGGAGCTTGGACGCAGCAACATACGCAGACGCGGAATCAGTACAAATGGCGTTAACCTTGTCGACACCAAACTTGTCGAACACGTCCTTCCATCGCTCCACTACGGCCTCTGTTGTCTCCTGAACAGCACCATCCCGCTGCACAATCCTGAAAAGGTACGCGCCCGTGGGACCAGCAGCAAGGAAGTTGACTATCTGGTCGCTCGTGATGGACTTGCGACCATCCGTGAGGATGGTCGCTCCCGTCGCCTCAATAGCCCTATGGATGGCCGCCACCATGTCCGCCACAACTCGCTGCTGCTGAGGGATGCCTTCGCACGAAATGACACGGTGCGTGGGTAATGCCGGATGTGCATACGGCGGATACTCAAGCAACTTCTTCCTCATCCTATGATACTCTGGCCTCCTCGCCGCCTCGAATGGGATGCCGCTCACGTACCACCACTGTAGGACGGAGTCCGAGAATTCTCGTTGCCACACTGGATCGAAGGTCTCCAGCATGGACGTCTATCGAAGAACTCTGCTCTTTTTGGGCTGAGAAGGTGCTGATCTCGCCTTAGTGGTAGTCATCTTCGCCTTCCTCTTTCTCTTCTTCGATCCCGCAGCCTCCTTCATCGCCCTAGCTGCCCCCTCTTGGCCACGACGGCCATCGCCCATCAACCCCCCATCCAGAGAGGCCCCAAGGTCTGCTCCCTCATCGCCATCGTCGTCGTCGGCGTCCTCGTCAGAGGTGCTGTCCTCGTCAACGGCCTTCTCCTTCATCAGCTTTCCCCTGGCACGCTCCACCTCTCGCCGCGCCTCCATGTCCTTTGCATCACTCTCACCATCATCATCTCCACCCTTGACCGCCCTCCTCTCCTCCTCGCTGTCCTCAAACTCCTCATTCCCCGCTGGCTCCCTCCCCGATCCACATCTGTTGTCTCGCAACCCACGAGACTTCAGAAAGTCCACGATCTTCCGTGCATGGCTTGGATCGAACCCTTACTTTGTCTTGTTCCATATCTCCGCCATCTGCTCCACGGAAGTGCTGTGCGGCTTTCGTCTGGCTCCCCTAACAACCCTGACCACACAGCTTGCACTCCATGAGGAAATTGTCATTTGAATTCGGCATCGTCTGCCCCTTCGTAACCCACTTAAAGCCGCAAAACTTCAGCTCCGCCTCCTTCTGCTTGTCTTTACTGACCGGAACGAATGGCTGATCTCCCCTCCCTATCTTGGGCGCCATTATAGCCTTGCACGTAGCCCACCGCCCACGGATGCCAGAGCGGAGCTCAGTGGACAGCGCCAAAGCCCGTCCTGCCCATGCCTGTCCCCCTTCACCGCCCCCCCCTCCCCACCACCCCCCCCAAACGGGCCCGGCACTCCAAAACCCTGTCCGCGAGCACGGCCCGACCACCGGCCCGTTCAGGCGTACGGGCCGTACGTACGGGACGCTGCGTACGTATGCACATACGGGCCGTACGTACGGGTGCCTCCGTACGTACGGGCGTGTGTGCGTGGCGTCCGCCGCCGCTGTGCGGCGTGCCCTCCCGGAGAGTTGGCCGCTCCCCTTGGTCGCGCCGTCGCCGCCGTCACCGGAACTGTCGTCGTCGCGTTCGCCGCCGGCGTCGGTGGGATCTCTCTCTCTCTCTCTCTCTCTCTCTCTCTCTCTCTCTCTCTCT